GAGGTTATGGTTGGTGGTAACTCCAAAGACGTGTCAAACAGTGATTCTGTGAGGTAAATAATGCGAGCAAGAGAAATGTATGAGGCTGTACAGTAAGGGGTAGCTGTTAGCTGTCACTCAGCAAATAACAGAGGGATGACAGAATAAAGGGAAAACATAAACCTATGAGAATTTGAGACTAATCGGTGCAGGTAATGTTTTTCAATCTTCTCTCCTCCAGTTTTGAACTGTAGCCTCAGTTTCCTGCTTTTAGCTGACAAGAATGACACCCGCTGCGGTCTTCTGCTGCTGTAGTCCGCTACCAGACTGCTGTGCATCCAAAGATGCTTTTCTGCACACCTTGGTTGTAACGAGATGTTATTTGGGTTACTGTCGACATCAACAAGGCATTTTCACACACAGAACTGCCGCTCACTGGATATTTTCCCTTTTTAGACGGTTCTCTGTAAACACTAGAGATGGTTGTGTGCAAATATACAGTAGGTGAAATACTCAGACAAACCTGGCACCAACAACCATGCCATGTTCACTGTCACCCTAAATCCCCTTTCTTCCTCATTCCTCATTCTGATGCTCAGTTTGAACTTCAGACATTTGTCTCAATATTATCTACACATAAATGCACCTAGCTGCTGCTGAGTGATTGGCCGATCAGACATCTGTGCTAACAAGCGGTTGAACAAGCGTACCTAATGACATGGCATGTGAGTGGTTAAAAAGGGTCTATGTACAACAGCTGTTGAAGTTCTTTGCTTGTTTTTGTTTTTAAATAAATGTCATGGTAGAAAAATTAGTAAAGCTGTCACCTCATCATATTTTCTGCTATTCAGCAGATCTTACTTCCTTTATAAACACAGTTTTCCCAGACTTTGGGATAATAAATGTATGCTTTTGTTTTAGGGAAGCTCCTCAGCTCAGCGATATGACCTAAATCAGACTTTACCCACACAGAAAAGCTTTAAAGGGGATGAGCTCATTGTCATTCATTTTGGATTTGTTGACACCGGATGTAGTGTAGGAGGTAGCAGCTCTCTTCCTGTCTTCGAGACAGACAAACTATCCCCCTTTTTTTCCACCTCGAACCGTGGACGGAGACTTTTATTAAAAACCTGGAAAATTTTAAAGCAAATAATATCTTTTTTAAAATTTGAGCTACTGAAAGAGAAATGCGTTACCAAACAGCCCAGCTTTCCACTTTACAAAGCCTGTCAGTGAGCAAAGTGAAAAAAATTTAGAAAAACTAGAAAAGGAGCGACAGAAAAACCCGTTCTGACGTCAGTGGAAATCCCCTTTATCTCCATTGTGACTCTGACAAAAGTCAACACTTAAATGTATTTTAAAACACGTGTTCCGGTGCGTGGTTTAATCACACAGTCGTATATTTTTGTCCAGCTTCACGTAAACAAAAGACAAAACCTATGAGCCTTCCTTTATTTGAATCAATAAAGGAGCATACCGTAAATTCTTTCTGTGTACGGTAATTTTCCCTTGCAGCCGCGCACGGCCTCGGCAGGGTTATTATCATCAGGGTGTTACTACATGCGACCCAGTAAGAGGTAACCACCCGGGCCTCGCTCGCTCGGAGCTGGTTTAGTTTCGGTTTTGTGCTCGGGGGTTTTCACCGGTTGGTATGATGTGTCTGCCCGGCGCTCACTGGCTTCCTCATCCGCCCGGCCCCTGCTGCCGCCGCGGGGACGTGACTGTGAGCTGTGCTTCCGAGCAGCGAGCGTCGAGGAGCATGTGGTAAACTTTGGACCGCTTGCGTAGTTGTTTTTGTTTTACGGTTGCGGAAGACTGAAGGGGAGCTGCCGCCGCTGTCGCTGCTGGAAGCGAAACTTTAACGCCACGGATCGAGCTCACGTAAGAAAACAACACCGACGCGTTACTGTTATCGTTATTATTTGATGCTTTTATATGTTTAGAAAACATTTTTTGTGTGTTCCGCTAAGAGAAGCGAGATCGCTTCCTGGAATTCAGAATAGAAAAGCGTTTCCCAAACACTCACGCAGGTCCTAATAGAGCCGAATCATCGGGCCATTGTTTACAGGCTGCTGCTAGATTACAGTTTATTTCTATAAATTAGATCTTTGGCTGGGTGGGAGCTGGAGTGGCGGTTTGGCCGTTAAAGCGGATGTTTTGTATGGAGCTGGTAATACTATATGAGTCTTGTTTACATGAACTCCGATGATTTCAGGTACAAAGGTGGCGGAGAAGTATTTGTAATGCTTTCATTCTGTGCCCCCTGCTTTAAAATGTAGGTAAGCCTGCATTACAGCGGGTGTTCCCCTAGCCGTTTGACTTGTCGCAGATGACTGTGAGTTACTATATGAGTATTTCCACAAAAAAAAGGGGAAACGGTTCCCCTCCAGCCAAGACCTGCTGCATTCAAACACTGCCTCGGTATCACAGGGCTCCTATTATTTCCAGCTTCATATTTAGACTCTTCAAGAGCGTGTTTGCATCAGTTATACCCGTGTTTATTGATAACAGGCCATTGGAGCGTCCCTCGGTTTAGGATAGCTTTCTTCTCATTGGCTACATCTGGCAAACAGAAGGCTTGAGCAGAAAATATACACGTAAATGTCATTTTGAGTACACTGTAGTTGTTACATTTATTGGAATCTGGCCAAATGACATGTACTTGAATAGTGAGGATATTTTCCTTGATTTCTTATTATTTTAAAATAAATGAACTGTTCATTTTATATATTTCACTTGCATTTTATTCAGAATTATTGCATCATGTTTATGACTTGTGTTTTTGAGTCTGCTTGAAATCTACACCCAATAAGCAAGTCATAACGGCAAACCCTAGAAATTAAGTGATTGCAACCGCACAGGTATACATGCTGGTACCTGGTTGTGTCAGTTATTTTGTAGGTTCTACACAGGCCCGACGCAGGGCTCTATGTTTAGGTTGAAGATAGATGCTAGTGACCTGCATCAGGTTGAGGTAGGGTTAGGTTTTCATAGGTCCTCTTTTTATGGATAAATGAGGAATGAGTATATAAACATGGACAGCTCAGCTTGAGAGGTTTGGAGGCAAGGCGGAGATGGTTTGGACACGAGCAGAGGAGGAAAAGAGGAAGACCCCAGAGGACGTTTTGGATAATAGTGATGGAGAACAGGCAGAAAGAGGGAGGCAACCTCTAAAGAGAGCATCTGAAGTAGGAAGAAGAAGAGTTATCCAGCTGATTTACACCTCAGAAGCCTAACAGTTGAAACCACAAGCTATACTCTGAACTGGGTGAGCCAAGACCCTCAGGTTCCATGTGCAGTTTCAGGCTTGGAATAGGCTGACAACATTTACTAACCAGTAACTATTTTGATGGTAAACTGATTATGTTTAGATTTTGGACTATTGAAATATTTTTAGATATTTCTTTACATCATTTACGGTCGGAAGAGAGAAAAGGTCAGCATGTGACTGAGGTGTGCAAAAGCTGCACTGACTTGAATCTCCTGTCTTTCGCTGATGTCAGGAAAGATTCCCAGCAGAATGAAATAGAGGAAATGACAAGCTTCCCTTAGACGGGAAAATTCGTAACTGGTTTTCAGCAGGAGCTGCTTAAAGATAGTTAAAATCTACTATGAGTCCTGGTTATCTCTCATGCTTTTTTGGACACAGTGAGTTCACCTTTCTAAAACTGTAAACATCTTTTTACCCATGTTAGAAAAAAGCCAGCTGTAGTTATCCAAAACACCAGACACTCTAATAACTAAGATATTGACTGCAGCAGTCTTAGTTTGTATGTTTTCTTCCTTTAACCTTTTTTAACCCGACGGATACTGAAATGTGTTTTTCGCAGTATGTTCGACCGTCTGTCACCAATTTAAGAAGAAAGGATGGATGACGAGAGAAGCGACGGAGGCGGAGGAGAGGCGGAGTTGGAGGATGAGTTTGCGTGCGCCGGGATGCTGCGGGGGTCTCTGACCTCTCTGCACAGCACGGTGGAGCGGATATTCAGTGTGGCGTTCAGCATCGGGGCGGACGATTTGCCTCACGGCAGCAACGGTCAAATATGGCTGAAACTGCGAGGGCCGAGCACCAATGTGAAAGCCGCCAAGGTGAGGCCCTGCTCTTGTTTATAATGCCCTATCAGTCCAGAACAGAGATAAGTTATTAGGCAGTGTGGCTCATAAACACGATGGAAGTTGACTTTGCGAGAGGTTGCTCACTGCAGTAACCTCTGGCCAAGTCCAGTTTCACTTATCGGTAATTCTAACTGGTAACTGGACTCGTCCCATCTGACAAGATGAGTTCACATTAGTGGTGCTAACTTTTCCTTATCCAGTGTTACTGCATTGATTTTAAGCTTTAGTTTAAAAAGTTGCCACAGCAGTGAAAGAAAACAAGCCAGGATACCATTTATGGGAAGCTTTAGCAGTTAAGTAGTAATCATCAGCTGATAGCTCAAGCTCCACTCTGTTACCAGAGTGGGAGGGGCGTGACGGTGGGAGGGGCGTGACGGTGGGTGGGGCGTGACGGTGACCCATATTTGCTTTATAACCTCAACAAACTCATTGTGATGAATTATACACCTTCTATTTAGAGCTGGATCAGGTGACCTTAGTTACGTGTTTCTTTCTATTATTGTATCATCTTTACATTACAATATAAAGAGTCTTGAGGCCACTGTTGTTGTGATTTGGCTCCATATTAATAAAACTGAACTGAATTAATGTATGTGCTGTGACTTACTTAGAAGTACTGCAAAGAGAGCCAGAGAAAGATCAAAATGTCCAAAAAGCACACCTCGCTGCTGCTAATCAAGCAGGAGGGAGGTGCGAGATAAAGTGAGTAGTCAAATATTTGCGTACGGTAGCTGGAAATTATTTAAGAGCTGTGAAACTGAAGCACTTTCATCACCCCTATTCTCATTTCTCGGCAATATCCCTTTTAAGGAATATTTGCCCGTTCGTTACTTTGAGCTTCTCATCACGATCTGTCAGATCAGGAGGCCTTTTCTTTCTCTTTTAGTGTTTAATCTTTCTTGCATCAACTTTCACAGGAAATCTTTTCTTCTTTATCCGAATCACAGCCTTTATCTCAGGGGCCGCCCAAGCCAGTTTTTGGCTTTTTTTTTTTACCTAATCACTCAAGTAAACAAGTTTCCTCTGCAATCATTCTGATTTTACTGTTATTTCAGTATCGTCGACCGCCCCACTTTCTCCATTGTGCACCATATCTCTGCATCCTCGTGCAGGGCTAACCCACTTTTGTCATTAATCCAGCTGTAAATTTAGTTGGGTTTTTTTGTGTCTACAGTCTACTGAGTGTTAAGGGACCATTCCCAGGTAATGACTCATCAAAGTTTTTTAAGTGTTGTTTCACCCGTTAGGTTTCAGTCCACATATGCAAGCGCCTGTTGACACATGCAGTCAGAAAGATTCGTTCACTCATACAAAGACTACCAGACTGATGCACTGCAAAGTCAGTCGCTGTAGTGTAACAGTAGCAGCTGTAATCACACCATTGTCGGGCATATAGGCAGTTTGAGAAGACATGCAAACCATACGTAGGTAGACTTCCTCTTTGCTAAAGGCCATTTTGGGAGACGCAATTATCAGCTTGACTGAGTGATATGTCAGTGTATTGTGTTTTATTTATTTTTATATTGTTTTACTGTCCTGTTTTAGCTGTGTCTAAAAAGAATTCTCCTTCATGTGCAGACCGAAGCTGTGGATGTTCAAACGAGAATAGTATGTGTAAAAATGACCAACAGAGGTGGAGATAGAGTGTCAGTCAGTGGATCTGCTGCAGCTGCTGTCAGCCAGATGATTTTATAAACATAAACTATAATAAACTGCTTATTACCTTTCCTGCTTTCTTTAACCTCCGCAGCTAGATTAGAGCATGGACGTTGCAGACTTTGAAACTTTAGCACAAATAGGGGGAGATGGATCTCCTGTGGATGGACTTCAGTGGGGTCAGGGTTCAGTCATTCGTACCCACCGCATCGGTCTCGTTGTGCGCCAACGGTGACATCATCACACAGCCACAGCCATTTATGCTCGCCACAGCTTTTGCAGCAACAGCAAATGGTACGAGGTTACAAATCTAGAGGTTCATCATCAGCCAAAACGACACTGGAGCGCTGCTTGTGCTTCTGTTGTGAGACGATTAAATCGAACTCTGGTTTGTTTTCCCCCTCGGTGCGATTCGTTTGTACAGATGTGAACACAGTGATCACAGCAAAACAACTGCACCGAGACCATTTAGAGGAGGCAGTCTTGGCTCAGTCCCAAACAGACTACAAAGCGTGTTTATGGTGAGAACGTGATCTGACCTCAATCTGACTGCATGTTTGAGCTAAACACCTTCGCGTAGCTAGATATGCTTTAAAAAATGTAAAGTATTTCCCAGATAAACACAAATTTATCCATGTTATCCACTAAGTAGTACACAATACCTAGACACATCCGGCTAGGAAGTGGACCGACCGTTCTCGTGCAGTCAGTCCTTTGGTGTCTCTGAACTTCCACCTTTCTCTCTAAGTGTAGAAAATAATCAAAACCTTAAATATTCCCAGCACGATGCATGGACAAAGCATTCAACTCTGGCTCTTCCCATGGAGCTTCTTTTTCATAATTACTAAAGTTTAATAACACTATTTTGTTTTTTTTGTTTATTTTTTTTCAGTTATTTGTGAAAGGAGTTGTGAACCAGGAGGAACAGCAGGAGATTAAGTATCCTGGGGTGCTTCACTGTGTCTTCTGCGGAGCCAAAGGCCTGTTCATGGACAGCCTGATCAAAAGCACCTCAGCACATATAGTGGTAAGAGCTCAACAACAGGCCGGTTTCACAGTAATAGTTACTATAGAGAGGCATTTGTTACACCTTTGTTTGTCTACTACATTGGTTCTCTAACCTTTTAATAACTTCATCATTACTAAATAGATATTTTTATTAAGGATGCACGAATTGTAGAAATCTGAGCTTATGTCGATATTAAAATAACAACAGTTTTTTTCTTTTTTTTGTATTTATTTCCACTTTTGCCCCAAATAAGCAAAGAAATCGTCCTTATAAACAATACCTGATCTGTTTTAAAGCCTTTCAGTTTGTCATTGCCCAATTTTTAACGGGTAGCAACCAATGTGACACAACTGATGTGCATATAATTATGGGTATTAATGTCATGGTCATTTGGGGCATTTAATGATTTCTTTGAAGTGTTCTTTTTCCAGGGTGGGATAAGCACAGCATACATAATCTTTAATGACTTAAAAACAAGAATTGTGTTCATCAGTTTTAATTTGTTGTTTGGACTTTCTCTAGTCATGATATCTAGAACCCATTGGGAGTGTACAGAAGTTCATTTCTGGGCCTCAGAGACTTATAATGAAAAAAACACATTAAATGAAAGTAAAAAAGGTTTAAAGGGTGTAATACATTAACAAGCTTAGTGTGCCATTATTCACTGATGATGCAACAAAGTGACTAATAGTGTAATATCAAGAGATTACAGTCCTGTTATTCCAATAAGAAATCACATTATTAGTCAATATCAGTTTTACGCCATCAGATGGAAATGTGTCACACGCCTTCGACAAGTTAAAAACTGCCTTCAAAACTAAGACCGTGAAACAGTTTTTGGGAACTTCTGGTCTATTCTTAAGACGACTTATAGAACGTAAAAATGCAACTCTGCATTCTGACAACTTTCTTTTTCAGTATGATTTGTTGCCCGTAAATTTCTTGGAACGTATCTTAATAATCTTACTTAAGAGGAAACTCCAGTAAGAATATTTTGAGGTCCCAATTTTAATGTGTGTAAATGTTTAAATTAAGGCTTAA